CGTCAATATCCTAGTCAAGACTGACAATTCCATGAACATTCTGTTCAAGTTAGAGTTTGATGGGATGGGCCTATAGAACAATCAAATGAAAGCAGCTGCTGGATCACTTTATGGCTTCTCTGACAAGAGAAAAGAAGCCTGGGAATAATAACTCTATCAGTCATCAAAGGGGAAATGACAAGCAGTACACCGATATAGAGGACTTCTTGGTGGTTGACTCACCACTGATTTACAATGCCATCTTCGTTAGCCACTACTCATTAACTTCAAATCTGTCACTTCAACGTACCATGTAGCAATAAAGTTTCCAAACTACTGGGAGGTCTTAATCATTTGAAGCAACTTGAAGCAGTCTCGGACCTAATGCCTTCAGGCAGTCAAAAGCATGGAGCAGGAGCCACTTGATCTTCAAAACATGCACGAAGGAAATCTCGAGACCAGCGAGACTACTCTTAAATTTCTGGTGGCCGAAGGCGAAGTGGGGAATTTTTTTTAATAAGTAAAAATTCTATGCAGGGTCGAAATATATACTAATTCAGACCCTCGAAGAGCAACATGATGTTTTAGCTTAGCTAGTCATTGAAAGTCAAGGATGATTGAAAGTCAATCTAATTGTCTGACCGATGAAAAAAAAAAGATGAGATCTTCAACTATTATCTTAGTCTAACTGATATGAGAGAGATACATAAGATGTTGGAGGCTAAATATATCTGAGAAGTGCAATATATGACTTGGGTGTCTAACATGGTGATGGTGCAGAAAGCAAACAAGTGGAGAATGTGTGTCAACTTCACAAACCTAAACTTTGCTTGTCCAAATTATAGCTACTCATTACTAAGGATTGATGCATCAGTGGACTTAGCGATTGACCATTCTGTGATGAGCTTCATGGACGCCTTCTCTAGATAACACCAGATAAAGATGCACACAACCAACATGGATAGAAAACTTTCATAATAAATAAACGTGTATTATGTTATAATGCAATGCCCTTTGAGTTTAAAAATGTTCGGGTTATTTCCCAGATGTTGATGAATATAATCTTTTTAAAACAAAAGGGAAAAAAATATTTAAGTGTATATGGATGATGTGCTAGTTAAAAATAATCGCCAAAAAATACATAAAAGAGAATTTGATATGAGGTTAATTTCAATGTTCGCATCCATTTTTTATGCAATGACTGTGGGGCACCCTCTATGAGTGACACGAGACCATATTAGGGGACGTACTCAAAAAGAGAATGGGAGGTTTGACTACAAAGCTGGATATGCCCCAAAAAAAGGACTTACACCTTATCTGGGTCGAGAATGTCACTAATACCCTAAGCATACTAGACAACCTCCTAAGCAGAAATTTATGCTTGGTCAGTAGGTTGAAGAATTATGGAGACTTCTCCTCGGGACATGCAAAATGATGCACTTATTCAGAGTGGTCATTAGATATTGTGGAGGGTCTATTAATTATAACTTGGGTGAGAGTTATGTTATATAACTTGTTTAAAATCCGACTCGAATGCCATGTAGAAAAATAAAAGTAGGTTTTTAAAATTCCAGTCAATTTTAGTCCTAAAATTTTGATTATCTCAATATTTTATTTTTTAGAACTTTGAGTTGAAAATTTATAATTTTAAAGTCCTTAATGAGCATAGGTTAAAATATTCATAGCATCCTATATCAACTAGAAATAAACAAGAGAAAATAATTCAAGCGTGCAAACATGCAAAAAAAAGTAAACTAACCAAAATAATGAAAGACAAAAATCACGAATGTCATTATTGAAGCAATCAAATTCGACATCACTTGTGCAGGAATGATCCCCGAAAAAATTAAAGATATTGCACAATTCATCACACAATGAAAGTCAGAGGCATAATTGAAATGGATCCCTGTAAATTTTTAACTCATCTTTGTTCAACATATTTTCCCCTCATCTTGGCTAGCAGCTCGAAGATAGATAGAAGAAAGATATGACTTTCTTAATACTCTGAAACCTCCTCAGGAGACATCTTTGACCAGTCAGAGAGCCCAAAAGTTCGAAAATCTAGTAGAGAATAGTGGTGGGGACAGGAGGAGCCACGAGTCAATCGAAAGAAGCACGATCTATAAATAAAGACGCCAAAAAAATACGTTTCTAGACATTACATTCTTCTTTATGAGGTCGGTGAAAATCCCAACTATAATAAGGAGGGTTAGATCGTGAAATTAAAAAGATAGTAATGGAAAATAATTGTGTGAAAATTGAAAATTTGAGTAAGAAATGTAATTTGTTAAAAATTATTATTACAATGATTCAGACCCTAACTCTATGTTGGATAACAAAGTAACCAACACAGGGATATGAAGCTACCTCTACTGGGACTTGCTCCAGCCAACACCCTAAATAAGAATTCACCCCCCAACCCAAACTAGTCTAACCTATCTGAAGTTGCTCCTGTGAATTCGCCAGTTTCTGCTAAAGCATGATGTCATCTGCTTCAATGCCATGTCTCCTCTTCCACCTACATCATGCAAATCAATATGGCATGTACCTTCGAAACTTTCTGAAGAATGGCTTTGTGAGGGAAGGAACTCTCAATCTCACCCAAATGGCAAGCCAACTCCTATCGATCCACTTGAATCGCTCAAGTATTTCCTTCCTGCAACTCAAAATGAGCATGGGATTTTTAGGATGGTCTATCGCACTGCCCTTAACGAGCTAACCTTCCCCCTCCATCATTTCCCTTTTGATCCATGTTAACGTCATAGGAGCCTCACCTAAACTCAATTGAACCTATTGACCGCCACACCTAAAGCAATATTGTCATAAGCATGAAAAGATTCGTCACAAAAAGAAAAGAAAAACATATGAACTCATGTTCTTTAGAAAATCAGACATTGTCGACTCATTCTGATGAAATCGCAACAACGACGGAGTGTTAATGGGTGCTAGGTGATTCAGTTTTTGACCAAGCTTGGGATGCAACAACAGGTTGGGACATTAGGACTTGGGCCACATTAGTCAGTTGTATAACGGTAGTAACTTGTCGAGTGCTCACTGTGATTGGCTGAGCGCTAGCCGAGACTAGCTAAGCACTCTTTTGGGTCATCTCAAACAAATTTACCTGACCTGAGTGTGAAAGCCTAATCTTATTCACCACAACTTCTTTCTCCGCTCGCCCTCATGGATTGTTTTCCTCTTCTTGTTATTAAACAACCTGCGAGGAAAAATCATGTTCAAAACGATGCTTTGGGATCTAGATAATTTTTCCATTGCTAACCTTCATGTAATGCGACTGAAAGAGAAGGGTATACCTGCTTATGCCACAGAGGTAACCTATAGTAGGAACATAGCAAGTAAATCAAGGGAGTATCAATCATATAAGTCATTTAATAAGAACCAACCTTCTATTGTACTTCATTTATTGCATTCTAATTCTCTCATAACTTTTGCAGCACATAGTGTACTAAAATACGAGAGAATTTGGAAACTAAATACACATAACAGAAAGACCTTTGGCCAGATCGAATAGTCCTAAGTTGGGCACGTGCAAGCAGATCAATCCTGCTTAAGCAGAACAAATGCCTGTGGCAAGAAGGATCGGGCTATGAGATTAGTACAAGAGACAGCCGAGCGACCAATTAGGGGCTAACCCGTGCGACGACCAAGCGACCAAGGGAGCATCCGACCTAAGTAGCGACTACTTAGATGACAAAAAATGCGGTGATTTGTCGAGAACTCACTAAAATGCGAGTTATTCGAAACGGGCCTGTAAAGACCAGCCGACAACAAAAATATAAAGGGCATAACCAAATTTTTACATATGATTATAATTTTCTTTAAGTACAATAACAATAAATATAAAAGGAGACCTGTATACAAAAAATTAGTTTGTATTCCGAAATATCTTCTTCCTACTCTCTAATTTTTTTTTATGTGATTCACGAATAAATATGAATTCAACACTCCTTGCCAAAGTTTACATTTAAATTATAAGATTAAAGAATACATTTAATAATATAAAATTGACAGGACATGAGAACTTTAAGTTGTAAGCAGCACATAATAATGAGAATGCTTCAGGCTAATTCTAATTAGTTTGATTTGACATATATCATTGACTTTGATTGTTTTTCTCTAATCCAATATCTGGAGCTGTGAATATACTCTAAGACCATCTATCACTCAAAAATTGATTTAAATTTTGTTCCAAATCGAGATCAAATTTAAATAAACGAACCGAAATGAGCAAAAATTTTGGAACGAAATTTTTTGAGCCATGCATTGATCAACTCAAACTGACTTGAGATCAATTCGTATACTTATAAAAATTATATTTGTAATGCTAAGTGAAATTGAATATAAGAGTCTCAATCCAATTTCGAGCACATTTTGAGCTTGAACAAATCGATATAAGTGAACTTGAGCTAATTAGTTTCAATTTTGAGCCGGATCAAGCTGCTTCCAGCCTGAAACAAATCCAAATAACTCAATTTGAGTCAACTTGTTCAGATCTCAAGTCGGATCAAGCTTGATTCAATTTCAAACAAGCTCATTTCGAAATCAACTATAATGGGTAACAAGCCAATTTCGAGCCACAATATATCCATTCAAGCCGATTTTGACTCTGAGCCTCGAAACGTTTACAACCCTATCACTACCAACTAACAAGGCAACTCGCTTTTGGTTTCCACCTACCACACCGAATTTTCTAAATGCTAGCTTGAAATAAGTTTAATTTTGTATTATTATTATTATTATTATTATTATTATTATTATTATTATTATTATTATTCTTTTTTTATTTAAAATATATTTTTATTTAACATATTTTATTATATGTTTTATTTTAATATTCTTAAAAATAAATCAATCTCTTTAAAAAAACACAAAAAAAAACATCTAAATAATAATGACTGATTTTTTTAAATTAATTATATTCATCATAACAATTAATTTTAAATCAAAACAAAAAATAAAAATAAAAATAAAAAATTGAAACAAACTAAAATTAAGATGAGGCCATCACTGAAAACGCCGCCTGCTGTTTTAAGCTGCCCCAAACAGACCCTAAGCTTTCAAAGAACTATAAACCTACAAGCCAAAAAACCCTTCTATGGTTCGATTACCTTCTAGGCTAATTTTCTGAATGATTGTCCTCTGATTGAACTTATTTCTAGGGTTGTTCCTGTAATTCTGTTTTTGCAGCTAGAATTACATCACCAAAAAAGTCCCTCTGTGGGAATTCATCAGGAACAAGGCTCTGATAGATGTCAAATTCTTCATTCGCTTCCTTCCTCTTACCTAGCAAGCTATAAGTAATCCCCTGACAATTAGAAACAGTTGTTAATCTTCATGGCTAAATGAGGCCAAGCAATTACCATAGGAGGTTAAAAAAACATGTAAAAGATAACTTGGTTGCAATTTACGTATATAACCAGTAGAATTAAGCTTTGATCAACAAAAGATTCATCTCCAGAGTTCCAATGACTCAGTTTTTCTTATTTGTTATGTTTTAAAGGTCTAACGCCTATTTTAACTGCAATTTTAAGGTGAGACAAACACTAAAAATATAAAAACTAAATCCTAAGCTCTTTAAAATCTAATTTTCTCACGTTTCATCTTTCTCTTCACGTGTTCTTCTGTCATTTTTACGATGTAAATCTGGATTTAGTAAATCCGATTGTGAGCCAGATTTATTCTGTCATCGTTCGGGAGTTTTTCTGCCGGTTTGTCAATTTGATAGATCCAGATTTATCGGTTTTGATAAATCTTATTTAACATAAATCTAAGTTGCAGCCAAACACCGCCACCAGATGGTCAGTCTAGGCAGAAATCAATTACCATCTAGAGCGTACCTGACATAGATGAGGCCGAAAATCTCGAGGCTCTTCTTTGATAAGATCTTCAAATTGCCTTAAAGCCACATCTAAATCACCCTGCATCCATAAAATTGATAGAAATGGAGACAAACTCCATCAAATCAAGGTTTAGAAGGTTAAGAATTATTTGCAACACAACAACTCATACAAGCATTGTTTATAAGAATTTCATGTTACCTTCAACACATACATCTGGGCAATTATTATTCTAATACTCCTTTCTTCGCTTAGTCTCCTCTCACGATGTGCAATATCTAGAGCCTTATCCAACATGACAAAAGCAGCTGGGCCTTCTTTGTTCTTGTGCATGGCCAATGCCAGACCCTGCAGCAGAAAATCATATATTTTATACAAACTAATTTGGAGAATTTAGTTGTTAATGCAAATAATTAGAGAGAATGAAAGTATTTAAGCAAACTAAGAATATATCAATTGATAAAGTATTGTGGACAACAGTAAGACATACAAAGGGCAAGCAAGCTAGTTTCAAGCAGTTAATAGCCGGTACAAGAAGTCTACTCTCAAATTTTGGTACTCAATGTTTCACCGCACTCAAAGAATTTGCATTTAACAAGCAAAAAACGCAATGTTTTTACTAGCATTGATTGATTTCATTAATGGACAACAATCCTCGTAGAAATAAAAAAAGAAAAAAAAAAGGCTTAATTCAGCAGACTTGCAAAAATCCAAAATTAGCATAGAATTCCCAAAATCTCAATTTGAACAAATCTAAAGTTCTTGCTACAGTGCAAACTATAAAATCCACGGTTAGAAAACACTTCCTCAATGTACATGCATGTGAGTGTGTGAATAGAGAATAAGAAATATGTTAGGTCCAAAAGCTCCGATGCAGCTTCCCTGCATGCTCCATTGGCGCATCCCCTGGATGCAACATGAGCACATTGAGCACAGTTTCTTACTTATAGACACGTCTAAAAGAGGAAAAAATGATACACATTTTAATTTGATTTGGAATGGTCTATTGTGAGCACTGAAAATTTGATGCCCCGTCCTCTCTCAAAATGAATGAGAGGGTTTACTTGAGTTATGAGTCAAATTTTTAGAAGGCATATGAGATAAGACACTACCCAGAAATTCCACTCTCAATTTGTGAAGACTTTAAGATCTAAGATTTAAGGTTTCTCATAGACGCAAGCCACTATGGTTAATTACCAATTCTGGTAATGAGAGAGCACTTTCGATTAAGGCTAGTCATTTAGGCGATAAGCATTCAAATTTAGAATATAATAGCAACAAACTAAATTTGTGAAATGAGTGTAGATGGGGAGAATAATGACGAACCCCGGCCAAGATCTCATGGTTTCGTCATCCTGGGTTATCAAGATTCCTAGTTTACTCAGTCAGATGAGGCAGCTAACCTAACCAAGAAGTGAATGTTTGTCTTAGGGGTTTAATTTATATCGATATTAGCTTAAAGAGGGCTAAGTGCCTATCATAAACCCTATGATTCATGACTCAAAAAAATAGAATACCATTGAGGAACATATAGGCTATAGTCGTGATCTTTCTATAGTAGAGCCTACTAGTCAAACCATTTTGTGGAGACTACTAGTCAAACCACATGGACAGAGGACTAGGACTACATTCCTACTAACGTGAATTATTTTGAGTCTAAATTTAGAAATATACTTTAACATGACATTGGCACTATGTGAGCTTAGATTAAAATTAAATTTATGAAGCTTGACAAATGATTGAGGAGGGTGGATAAGATTCGCTTTTAACTTTTTAGTAACATTATTTTATCAAAATATTTTTTATATTTTATAATTTGAAATTTTGATTTCATAAATGAAATCACTCCAGTTAAGATGTTTGGTGAATATGCCCAGCATTAGGGAATTGATAGTTTTGAACCTTGCCAACTTTTTCTTGCTTACAAATAATTGAGTTCAAAAATTATATTAATTAAATTTATTCAAATATTTGTTGAAACTTAATTTTAAAAACAAATCCTTCTAAGTAAGATTCGCATTCAACACGATAATCATCAGGAAAACATTTAAAATATTTTAAATATTCACATTTAATATTTAATTGAAGCTCATTATTTGAATAGCAATAAGCATCACTCCTGTAAATAACATTTCTTATGTGGAGGATCGGACTGGCTTAGTGTGGAGAAGCTCAATCATGTCAACTAGAGTGTCTTCATTTCTTTTTTTGTGCATTTTAAATTTCATTGTGAAAGCTCAGAAAAATGTGTCCTTCCTAAGCAAATACAACGCTCCGGACGTGCGCGAGCATGGTACATTTGCAATCGAATGTCATTTGAGTTGCTTCAGCGATGGACAAGAATATTTAAGTCGTTTCATGCAAATGCCCCTTCCAATTGCGTCATGTTCATCATTTTTGCTCATCTTGATCATAAAAGGCTCAATCTTAGGTAATTTCAATGCTTCAAATGTGTTCTCACAATCCTCTTTATGATATGATGACATTTCAGCAATGTCGACAATCCTCGAGGCAAATTGGACCGGAATCACGCAAGTCAAGTTTATGGTATGTATTTCTCATTGGGATTGTGAAAGGCCTTACTTGGTGGATACTTCGTAAACAATGGCAAAATTTGTTCCATAAATAGGGATCAGTTAGGTAACTGCAGCAATGTTTGAAGTAAATCAGTTTCGATCTTGTGAAATGTTGCATTCATCGTTCATCATTCGCCTTACGCACGGTCGATTTTACTTGTGGTTTAGATATAGAATTATGGTCAACATCTATAAATTCTTAGATTTCTTGTTCTTTGTTGTCTTCCCCATTTATGCCATAACTGGTTAGTTGGTCGCTATTTAGATGCTTTTGATAATTTTTCAGTCACAATGATGTCAAAACTAAAAGCACAAGCACTTCATTCAAGCAGCTCTTTCCTGATTTGGCAGAGCTTCAAATCAGATAGGGAAACGCCATTCCAGAAAAGGGAATGAAAATTCTAAAGGGAAAAAAGACACCAATAGAAATGAATGTCACACCTAATTTGGAGGCTTGCAAACAGAAAAGAAGGGAACACAAAACTTGTCTTCTGTCGTTATGGGCTTAGATAGCAAGTTAGCTAGCTTTATTTTCTTTTAACAACCATATCTCTCAATCCCTAATGGTTTGCTTAAAAATAATAAACATGAATATGATGAAAATATCATGAAATCAAGTATAATTTATTTATGCGGAGGCAAACTCAAATCCAGAGGTTCTTCATGGTCTCAAAAAATATTTGCAATCCTAAATTTTTGCAACCCACTTAGGATGATATTTCTCCACTATTAACGAATATTACTTCCTTTCCTTTTCTATACTTATGTATTTTTACAAAAGAAAAAACTGATGAAAGACATCGTAGGAACGAGTTGATAAATACAGATCTAGGATGAGAGATACAAATCAAGCTGCATGGGAAACTGTGACCATCAGATCACGCACTTTCAGCATCTTTTGGAAGCTAGCTATGAAGCCGCGCTACGACTCTACATGTCCTTGTCAAAATTGTAGCAGCACCTGGTTGTTCTTGTGAGGGTTTCTTTGCATTAGCGAATTAGGTTATGAATATCCTCTTGAACTCAATGAAGGAGATAATCACTCCCAACAGTAGACTATTAAATCAAGGGAGAGCGGACTCCTTCGGTCATAAATAAGAGCTGACATTTTAGTGTGTCATTTATTCTTAATAAAAAAACTATTGATTCGAAAGAAGTGAAGTGATCGAATGGGTCAGATTTTCTCTGATAGGATTGTAGAGTAAGTATTTTGAAGTATTCTGGTGCTTCAGCCTCGGGGATCTATCTAGAAAGTGCATTCTCTGAATAAATGAGTCGCGGCATGCTGGTGTGTCCTCGCCTGTCACAAACTAGGGGTGTGAATCCTACACTATCAAGGTAGTAAGTGTCGTTTCCTGCACTCAAAGTCGGTGAGAAGGTTCTTCTAGCGTCGACGTTACGTTCTCTTCTCTAGCGTGAATGAGCTACTGGTTGGGATGGTGGGGTCATCTCCTGGGCAAGTGTTTCCCTAATTACTTCCATCATCTACTCCTTGAGTTCTTGGAACTGTCGTGCTACTAAATATCTGGTGCATTTCATATTGTTTGTGATCTCATGATGGTTGTTTTCTTCTTGCGCTACTCCACTTCTCGTTTGTAGAATAATTCACACTCACCGCACCTTTTTAGGATGTTGAACTTAGATTTGTTCTTGAATCACACTCAAATAATAGAGCGTGAACAAAGGGAAATGAAAGAGCAGTGTCGGCACTATTTTTGGTGTGGGGTTTGCCCGTAAGAAACTGTCGGTCATCGGAATTGAAATCCCGTTTCCCGCTTCAGAAAGACGTTTTTTTTTTAATTTTAGTTTTGAAAAAGATGAAGTCAAACTGACCTCATAATTTTCATAGTTTAGATGAAAGAGCGTTTTACCTCAAATCTTGTATCTATCCCGAAGGATGAACACAAAAGTTGAGGGTGAGGCTCGATCAAATAAACTAAAGAAAGTTATGACATCCGTTTGGTCTGCGAAACCAA